TCTCTGATTCACACCAAGGGTGATCCCAAGTGGATCTGATCTGACTATATTTGATCGATCCCCATGGGTGGAGACTGAAGGTGGATACAAATTCACAGTGGAGAGGAAGGAGGGTCCCCCCCTCCTCTCCTCCCACCTCCCCATCCAATTCTTCCTCCAAGTCTTTCTTCACTTCCAAGGCCAAGGTCAGTGCTCAGTGCCCATTAACTATTCCATCAAGGCCTTTTCATCTTAAAAATGCACTTAGCCAGCAGGTCTGGCATTTTCCCTCTGTAGTTCATGGAGGACCCTAGACTCCCCTTCATGAGGTGAGGGTCCTCAGACTAAACCAGAGTCCAAGATGAGTACCATAGCTGCATAATCTCTGAAAGATGAAGTAATGCACTAAGAGACTAACCAAACTGTATTTCCAGCTAGGCACTGGTGGTTCAAGCCCAGAATCCCAGCTACTCAGGAGGCTGACACGTGAGGATCAAGGTTGGAAGCCACGCCTGGGAAGAAAGGCCAGGAGACTCTGATTACCATTCAACCACCAATAAAGCCACATGTGGCTCAAGTGATAGAGCACCAGCCTTGAGCACTAAAACACAGGACAACACACAGGACCTGAGTTCAAGCCCTAGGACTGACCTGGGCCTAGAGCCTGACTCTGCACTCTGTGCAGTGAATATATACCTGGTACTCATGGCCGAATCACACCAGGAGCCTTTGTACCCCAGACAGAGGTCCCAGCTCCACAGCCCAGTCCACACCAGGCACAAGACAAACACCTCCCCGTGTAGTCCTGTCTAGATTTGGGCACAAATTCTGTGAACTTTCTGTTGCTATATTATTTCATCTCCCACCTTTCATGGTTCTGGTTTTTGTGCTACTCCTGGGGCTTGAACTCAAGGCCTAGACTTCAACTATCTGGAGCTTTTGTGCTCAAGGCTGGTGCTCTACCACTTTGAGCCACGGCTCCACCCCCAGCTTTTTTGGCAGTTAATTGGAGATAGGAGTTTCATGGGCTTTTCTTCCTGGGTTGGTTTCAAATCAAACCATGATCCTCAGATCTCAGTCTCCTTAGTAGCTGGGATTATAGGCATGAGCCACCGACACTGGTCCCTTCAATGATTTTTACCTAGGACACTGGTGTGGGTGGCTTCCGCCAGGAGTCGCCTCCCACTGCTGGTCCACTCCAGTCCCTGGCCACTATGTCTCGCCCACTGTTGGCCGCTACCTTTGCCGGGCTGCTTTCCTGCACTGCTCCAGCCGGATAGGAAATGGGGGAGAGAGATGGGGGAATTTCCTCTCCTTATATTTAAGTTATAAGTTTTAGGTTTGTTTTTTTGTTTCAGCTCTTGTGACTCGCTGCTTGTTTATGTATTTGTGGTTGTCGATCTTTTGGGGAGAAGCGCATGCTAGCAACTCAGATCTCTGTTTGGCTCAAAGGAGCTGCAGCCATTCCCTATTACATGGCCACCACCTTCCTTCCTTCTTCTTCTTCTTCTTTTCTTGTTTTGTGGAGCTACCTTTGCCCCACAAGAGGCAGGTCACCTTAGGCCGCACTAACATCTCTGACCAGAACAACAACTCTGAGGGCCCCCACAGAACCCAAGCTGAGAGCCTTCCATGCCAAGTTGGCCCAAATCCATCATTTGCACAACTGAGCACAAGTCCAAATGCAAGGTCTGAGCTGTGACACACACACACACACACACACACACACACACACACACACGAGGCGCCTCTCACCCCTGCCCACGGCTCCCAGCAGGGCAGTCTGCAGAGGCGTTGGTGTGGTTTATTTTACTGGAAAGCATAAGACATAGTGAAATAACAATCTATGACTGACTCTGGCAAAAAACAAAAATCACTTTGTTGGTTAAAGACAAACTGATTGTTTTGTCCCACTTCTACACTTGAAGTCAGGGCCTGGGCAATGACCCTGAACTTTCATGCTCTACCACATGAGCCACACCTCCTGTTCTGGGGTTTAGATTAACTGGAGATGAGAGCTTCATGGACTTTCCTGCCTGGGTTGGCTTCCAGCTGTGGTCTTCAGATCTCAGCCTCCTTATTAGCTGAAATTACAGATTTGAGCCACCAGTTCCAGACTACAGTTCTGAGAGGTAAGAGATGTTGGATGAGGGGAGAAACAGTTCATCAAGCTTTTCTACTGGTTGCAAAGATTAACTCACAGGGCCTGACACACCAGATGCCAAGGTACATAAAGCACAGATGTGGGGTCCCCCCCACCCTTCATACCCAACTCAGGCCATGGAGCCCTGACAGAACCATGGAGAAATGACAAAATTACAAGTGTGAGGAATGACCCAGAATTTTGCATGACTAGAAATACAGGAATTTCAAATCCAAGTGAGCAACTCTGAAACGCACAACAATTAAATTCTTTTTTTAAAAAAAGAAAAAATAGCAAGATGCTGGTGGCTCACGCCTGTCATCCTAGCTACTCAGGAGGCTGAGATCTGAGGATCACGGTTCAAAGCCAGCCCAGGCAGGAAACTCCAGGAAACTCTTATCTCCAATAACCCACCAGAAAACCGGAAGTGGCGCTGTGGCTCAAGTGGTAGAGCGCTCTCCTTGAGCTGAAGAGCTGAGGGACAGCATCAAGACCCAAAGTTCAAGCCCCAAGATTGACGAAAAAGAAAAAATATATATGAAAGATAGAGTTTGGTTATCTGGGAAGCCACTGAGAAGCTCTCTCAACACCTGGGAGTAGAGCAAAGAACAGGGGACTTAGATCTGAGGCTCACAGTTGGAAGCCAACCCAGGCAGGAAGTCCTTCAGGAGCTCATCTCCAGTTAATCAAAACACTAGAAGTGGCTCTGCAGCTCAAGTGGTAGAGAGCTCGCCTTGAGCTAGAGCTCAGGGACAGCTCACAGGCCCTGACTTCAAGCCCAGAAGTGGAATAAAACAAATAAACAATCAGTTTTGACTCTGACCTATAAAGCGTTTGTTTGTTTTTGGCCAAAATGGTATCTCACTGTGTCTTGCAGTGTTTTCAAGTAGAATAACCCACACCAAGGCCTCTGCAGATTGCCCTGCTGGGAGCCGTGGGCAGGGGTGGGAGGTGCCTCGTGTGCGTGTGTCACAGCTCAGACCTGACACTCGGACTTGTGCTCAGTTGTGCAAATGATGGATTTGGGCCAACTTGGCATGGAAGGCCCTCAGCTTGGGTTCTGTGAGGGCCTGTGGAGCTCTTTGTCCCAGTGAGAGGCATTGGTGCTGCCTTTGGTGACCTGCCTTACATGGGCAAAGGTTGTGCCACAATAAAAGAAAATTATTTGGAAAGCCACGTCCTGGCTGCACTGTGCCAGGAGAGTAGGGGAGAGGAGAGAAGAGGAGAGGAGAGGAGAGGAGAGGAGAGGAGAGGAGAGGAGAGGAGAGGGAGAAGACACAGTGACCCCATCCTGACTGAGACCTTACCATGGCACCGTGGCGCACAGCCCAGGCCCTGGGTGGATGTGTGGTCACTGCTCCCATGATGCCCTGTGAGTCATTCATGTACTGTGGGTTCCATACTTCACCGGGTGTGGCACAAGAATGCCAAGCAGGAATGTACGTTGTGAATTCATCAAACCATACACTATTTCTGTTTATAGTGTGTGCTGGTCCTGAGGCTTGAACTCAGGGCCTGGGCGCCGCCCTTAGTGTTTTGCTCTAGGCTCACATTCTACCACCTGAGTCACAGCTCCACTTCTGGTGTTCTGCTTGGCTAGATGCACTGAAAGACCACCAAAGGTGTATTTTAAGCCAGGCACCAGTGGCTCACACCTGTAATCCCAGCTACTCAGGAGGCTGAGATCTGAGGATCAAGGTTGGAAGCCAGCCCAGGCAGGAAAGACCAGGAGACTCTTATCTCCAATGAGCCACCAACAAGACCAGAAGTGGAACTGTGGCTAAAGTGGTAGAGCACCAGTCTTAAGCACAAAAACACAGGGATAATGCCCAGGCCCTGAGTTCAAGCCCCAGGAGTGGCCAACAAAACAAATGGCTTTGTCCTCCAGAGAGAACATCCCACTTCCTGGGTACAGCCTACACCAGGCACAACTCAAACAGTTCCCAGTGCAATGCGACCTAGATTTGTTTGCTCCTGAACATCACAGACATGGGTTCCTTTGGTGTGAACACACACACTCAGGCATAGGTACAAACACATGCGAACCTGTGTACCCACATGCACACACGCAATCCCAGTGATGTTACAGAAGTATTGCTCAAACCTGCAAGTTAAGGACAAAGAAAGGAAGCCTGAGAAACTCTCCCTGCCCCCAGGTGCCTGAGGAGCTATGGAGATCACGACCCTGAGAATCATGGCTGAGATCCTAGAATGGAGAGAGACCCTGGGGGAAGCAGAGGAAATCAGAAGGAAAAATGCATTGTGGAATCTTGGCAAAGATTTTTGAGTAATAGTGGATTGAACTTAGGGCCTTGATCTAGAAGTCCAGGCCTCCCTCTCTGTCATTTTTCAGATATATATGCCTCTTTTTAGAATAAAATATTAGGGTCTGGGAATGTAGCTTAGTGGTACAGTGCTTGTGTAGCATGCATGAAGCCCTGGGTTTGAATCCTCAGTAACACATACACAGAAAAAGCCAGAAATGGCACTAAGGCTCAAGTGGTAGAGTGCTAGCCTTGAGCACAGACAGGCTCAGGGACAGTGCTCAAGCCCTGAGTTCAAGTCCCAGGACTGGCCTCCAGAAATAAATAAATAAATAAATGGGATTGGGACATTTAAAACTATATTTTTTCATTCTGTGCTCAAGCCTATTTGCTCTTGTCGTTCAGGTTCCCTGCCGTGACCTGACGATCACATGAGCAGAGACCACCCTTGAATGATTTCACAGCTGCATAAAAATCCCCAGGGACAATCACCTTGGTTTTGTTTGTTTCTTTCTTTACCATCAATATAGTTTAAAAGGAAATGAAGAAAGTTAATGATTGGCTTCACCACCTAGGATGATATTAAAGACTCTGCCTCCCCCTCCAGGGTGCCAGTGGCCTGTGACCAAGATCCAGGCACGCAGGGCTCTGCCATGGCTCAGGACTACGTGTGGTACCAGGGCATTCCTTTCCCTATCATGGCATACAACCCTGAATTCATAAAAGCAACCCACGAGACGCTGGTGTTGAAGGACGAGGACATCATCACGGTGGCCTACCCCAAATCAGGTGAGCAGATGGGTCTGCAGCTACATGGGAAAGGCCAGGCCTGTGCCCCACTCCCTCCAGCCTTCTGCGTGGGAATGGTATAGTAGCTCATTATTGAAGATCTGTGGCCCATGTGGTAGAGCGCCAGCCCTGAGCACAACAGTTCAGAGTCAGCACCTAGGCCCTGTTCAAGCTCCAGGATGGCCACTATTAAAAAAAAAAAAAAAAGGTGTTTTTGAGATGCTCCATTTGCTTTAAAATGAGGATGACTTTGAGGTTACCTAGAGAAGAGGCATGATCTCAAATAGAAGAATCATCAGGGGCCATAGTTGGAACTGGAAAACTTGGGGTAAATACAAGGCACTGGCAGGCCAGGGAGCCCAGGGGTTTGTGTGTGAAGGAGCCTGGGGAGTGGGGAGGGAGCACTGAGGGCACACTGCAAGGGAAATGTGCTGAAAACCATAGCCAGAGGGGGCACTGCAGGGATTTCAGGAAGAGCTGACAGGTGCATTAAACCCAAATATCCACAGACAAACGGCTGCACAATCCCAAGCAGGTTGAGAGATCAAAATGGAATATTATTGAGTGTTGAAAACACAGATGACTCAGACCCATGCTCCACTATTTTCAAGACATTTGGCCATTTGAGCACATGAGACAAGGCCATAGTGCAAAAACAAAACAATGTGTATTGCACTCACATACAAGGCTCAGAACTGCCAAAGTGATGGAGGAGATAAGAAGATGGTGGGTGTCAGGGCAGATAGCAAGCAAATCAATACTCAGTTGTCATAGACAGTGAATATTTATAAGATGCCAAAATACTGGCGTTGAGTGAGCTATGATTAAAATAAACTGAACACTTCTTATCCGCATCAGATTGCATGCTTGAGAAAGTTTACATCAGTAAGGTTTATGGTATGTATATTTTACCATTATATAATATATATTATACATTATATATTATGTAGATAATGTTCTATATTCAGACAGAAATGAGTGACCTTCACTTTTCTTTCTGTCCAAGGAACCCATTGGTTGGTTGAAGTTCTCTCTCTGATTCACTCCAAGGGCGATCCCAAGTGGATCCGATCTGCGCCCATGTTTGTTCGCTCCCCATGGATCGAGAATGAAAGTAGATACCATTTCACAATGGAGAAGAAGGAGGGCCCCCCCCTCCTCACCTCCCACCTCCCCATCCAACTCTTCCCCAAGTCTTTCTTCACTTCCAAGGCCAAGGTCAGTGCTCAGTGCTCAATAACTGTTTAATCAATGCCTTTTAAACATAAAACTGTATACATAGTCAGCAGATCTGGCATTCTCCCTCTGTAGTTCACAGAGGATCGAGACTCTCCTTTATGAGGTGAGGGTCCTCAGACCAAACCAGAGTAATAGATGTGGACCATGGCTGCGTAATCCCTGACAGATGAAATGGATGCACTGAAAGACTAACCAAACTGTGTTTTAAGCAGATACCCAGGCCTCATGCAGTCAACCCAGCTAAACAGGGGGCTGAGATTTGAGGTTCAAGATCAGAAGTCAGCCTAGGCAGGAAAGGCTAGGAGATGCTTGAACCACAAAAAAAAACAGCACAAATGGAGCTGTGGTTCAAGTGGTAGAGCACCAGCCCTGAGCACAAAAATGAAGGACAGCACCCAGGCCCTGAGTTCAAGCTCCAGGAATGGCAAATAATAATAATGATGATGATGATAATAAGTGAGATTGTATGATTTCAGTGTCATGTCACCTGGTGTCTGTGGCCTGACTCTGAACGTCCTGCAGTGAATAAACACCTGGTGTTTAGGGCCGGATACACCAGGAGCCTTTGTGCACCAGACAGAGATCCTCATTGCCCTGTCTGCCCACACCAGGCATGATGCAAACACTTCCCAGGTGCAATGCAACCTAGATTTGTTTCTTCCTGTACATCAAAAAATGGATGGGGCTGGAAAGGTGGCTCAGTGGTAAAGTGTTTGCCTTGCATGCATGAGGCCCTGGGTTCGATTCCTCAGCAGCACATAAGCAGAAAAAGCTGGAAGTGGAGCTGTGGCTCAAGTGGTAGGGTGCTAGTCTTGAGCTGAAAAGCTGAGGGACAGTGTCCAGGCCCAGAGTTCAGGCCTTATGACCAACAGCAACAAAAAAAAAAAAGTGTTCATGTGGTGTGAACACTCTGATGCTGTATTATTTCATACCTCCTGCCCCTCGCCTTTAATAGTTTTTATTTTGTTTTGTTTTTGTTCCCCTTCTGGGGCTTGAACTCGGGGCCTAGTTGCTGTCTCAGAGCTTTTGTGCTCAAAGCCGTCACTCTACCACTTTGAGCCACAGCTCCTCTTGCGTTTCAGGTAGTTAACTGGAGACAGGTATTTCTTGGGCTGTTCTACCTGGGCTGACCTGAAATCACAACCCTCAGATCTCAGTCTACTGAGTAGCTGGGATTACAGGCGCAAGCCACTGATGCCCAGATCCTCCCATGATTTTTATACAATGACTTATGAATCTATGGCCAGCAAATGCTAACCAGCATCTGCTCTCCTGTGCTTTATAGATAAATATCCCAGATACATTTAGGAAATGGATTGTCCTTCCATTGCTTTATTCCTAGCAAGGTAAACCAAAAGACCAACAGACATTTTGATATTGGAGCAAAATTTTTTAGAATTTCTCTGAACACCAAGAAATTATGGGAATGTTTCTTGTTTGTTTAATTCTTTTCCTTCTCTCTTGAAGGTGATCTATGTCATCAGAAATCCTAAGGATGTCCTTATATCTGGTTATCATTTCTGGGGTTCTACAAATCTGGCTAAGAAACCAGAGTCACTGCAACAATATTTTGAATGGTTCTTGCAAGGACACGGTGAGTGGGTTGTGAAGAGAGCAGACAAGGATTTAAACATCTTTCAGGACCTCATGTGACCCTCCCCTCCCACCATGTTTTATGTTCAAATCTCACCATCTGTGGGTCCAATGCTTCTTCATCCCAGAACTCACATTGGCTAAAGGCAGCACCAGACTTCTCCCATGATGGAAGGTCCCAAGGTGTTTTGAGCCCCTGGAGCTTCCGTAGCCATGGAGGACCCGCCCCCTCCCAGATGTTGGCTCACAGCTTCTCACTGGCTTCCCACACAGCCCAACTCTACCTTCCCTATATATTTCCATTGTTTTAATTTTCTTTTGCTGTCTGTTTCAGAGTTTCTTGCTTGAAGTTGGGATCGCTCTGTTTCTAGTCATGCAGAAGTTCTGGGTCATTCCTCATGCTTGTAATTTTGTCATTTCTCCAAATTTCTGTCAGGGGTCCATGGCCTGAGTTGGGTATGAAGGGAGAGGGGGGACCCCACATCTGTGCTTTACCTCATCATTTGTTGTCCCAAGCCCTGTGGGTTTATCTTTACAACCAGTAGAGGTTCTTGATGAACTGCTTCTCCTCTACATCTCTTATCACTCAGAACTATGATCCAGGGCTGGTGGCTCACACCTGTAATCACAGCTACACAGGAGCTGAGAGCTGAGGATCGCAATTGGAAGCTCAAGCCAGGCAGGAAGTCCTTGAGGCTTTCATCTCCACTTAGTCATCATAACACAGGAAGTGGAGGTGTGGCTCAAGTGGTAGAGTGGCAGCCTTAAGTATATAAACTCAAGGATGAAGCCCAGGTCCAGAAGTAGCACACAAAAATTAGTTTGACTATGATCTACAAAGTGTGATTCATGAAACTGAGATTCTGAATAGTATTTCACTGTTATTTCACTGTGTCTTACGGTGATTTCAAGTAGAATAAAGCACACTGAGGCCTCTGCAGACTGACCTGCTGGGAGCCATGGGCAGGGATGGGAGGTGCCTCGTGTGCGTGTGTCACAGCTCAGACCTTGCACTCGGACTTGTGCTCAGTTGTGCAAGTGATGGATTTGGGCCAAGCTGGCATGGAAGGCCCTCAGCCTGAGTTCTGTGAGGGCCCCCGGAGCTCTTTGTACCGGTCAGAGGTTTTGGTGTGGCCTTTGGTGACCTGCTTCACATGGGGCAAAGGTTGTGCCACAATAAAAGAAAACTATTTGGGCTGGGAGCCAGTGGCTCACACCTGTCATCCTAGCTATTCAAGAGACTGAGATCTGAGGATCGTGATTCAAAGCCAGCCCAGGCAGCAAAGTCCATGAGACTCTTATCTCCAATAACCCACCAGAAAACTGGAAGTGGCGCTGTGGCTCAAGTGGTAGAGTGCTTGTCTTGAGCTGAAGAGCTGAGGGACAGCAGCCAGGCCCAGAGTTCAAACCCCAGGACTGACAAGAGAAAAAGAAAGAAAATTATTTGGAAAGCTATGCCCTGGCTCCGCAGTGCTCTCTCTTTTGGGCCATAAGGAGATAGGACTTGTCAGTTATACCCTGGTGAAGGTAACAGGGATCAGAGCCATCGGAGCTGAGACCACCATGCAGATCGGAAATGGTGGAGACTTTTCACGCTGTCCCACTGTCCCCCCTGCAGTACCTTACGGGTCATGGTTTGATCACGTCCGAGGCTGGATGTCCATGAGGGAAAAGGAGAACGTGCTGATCCTCAGTTATGAGCAGATGAAAAAGGTAACAATTTTATAAGCACCCCATTCCACCACCCTCCTCACCCCCTTCTACCATCTCCCCTTCTTCTGACTGCCCCTCCTCCAGTTCACACGTGCACATGCATACACACACACATACACACACACACACACACACACACACAGCCATCTCACATTCTCTATCAAGTTTCTACATCATGGTGTGTCATTGTTTCCCCTCATCCTCCTTTTCTTTCTTTTTTGTTTTGAAATGGAGTCTTGAACTCAGTACCTGATGCTTTGCTAGTTGTCTGGTGCTCTACCCACTGAGCCATGACCCCAACTCCCACACTCCACTCATCCTTTTTCCTGCCAGTTTCTTCTGATGTTTTTCCCTTCTCCTGCTCCCTCCTCCTGTGCTGGCCCCTCTCCTATCCCTGTTTTTCTCACATTAGGACCCCAGGAGCATGATAGAGAAGATCTGTGGGTTCCTGGGGAAGGCACTGGAGCCGGGAGAGCTGGACTTGGTCCTGGAGAACAGTTCCTTCCAGGCGATGAAAGAAAACAAGATGTTCAATTTCAATAATGTGAGAGTGGGGTTTGTTCCTGCCGATCTCAAAATCATCAGGAAAGGTATGGAAATGCCCCAGAGAAGAAGGTGCTGGAGTTCAGGAAACAGAAATCTGGTCTCCAACCACAGGCTTCTGGCCAGGGATCAGCCAAGGACAAGTTGACTGTTCATTTTCAGCTTGTGTCAAAAAAAAATAGACTGGAAGTGGAGCTGTGGCTCAAGTGGTAGAGTGCTTGTCTTGAGC